TCCATTGAGTCCATCTCAACTCTCATGGCATCTACCCACTTCAAGGAATCTATGTCCAACATAGCTTCTGTATAAGTCACGGGATCCTCCTCACAAGTCAGCTTCCACCAGGTAACTATCCTGGTCATAGCCAAAACGGACTAGAGGCCTGGATACCCGGGTAGATCTTCTAGGTTGGTCATTACTTGGAACTTGTGGGACATCTCCCACTGGCCCTGAGCTCTCCTCATCAAGAACAACTTCTTGACGATGATTGTTCAGGATATAATCTTTCTCCAAGAAATGGGAATTTCGACTACAGAACACCTTCTGTTCTCTTGGGTCATAGAATAGGTAACCCACAGAGCCTTTGGGGTAACCTACGAAAAGGCAACGATTGGTATTGGATTCCAATTTGTCCGCATTCGTTCTTTTAACGTGTGTTGGACAACCCCAAATCTTCAAGTGTCTGACATTTGGTTTCTTACCGGTCTAAAGTTCGTATGGAGTATTCGGAACCGATTTGGTTGGAACCCGATTCACTATGTATATCGCAGTCTCTAATGCAAAACCCCAAAAGGATGTGGGCAACTCCGAGTGTACAAAAAGTGACCGGACCATATCCAATAAGGTCCTATTCCTCCTCTCTGAAACACCGTTTAACTGTGGTGTAGCAGGAGGAGTCAACTGTGATACTATCCCGTTGACCTTCAAGTAGTCCCTGAATTCGTCAGAGAGATACTCGCCACCTCGATTTGATCGAAGGGTCTTAATTTCTCTCCCTAACTGTTTCTTGACCTCTTGTCTGAACTCCTTGAAATTTTCAAAGGATTTGGACTTGTGTCTCATTAGGTACACGTAACAATACCGAGAATAATCATCGGTGAATGTAATGAAATACACGTACTGGTTACGAGTCCTAACACTCAGGGGACCACATACATCAGTATGTATAAGGTCAACCGTGCCTGTACATCTTTCTGGCTTACCGTTAAATGGTCGTTTCGTCATCTTACCCTGAAGGCAAGGTTCACAAGTGGGAAGATCTTCTACAGTTAGAAAATCMAAAGGACCATCCTTTACCAATCTTGTGATACGATCTATATTAATATGGCCAAGTCGGTAATGCCACAGGTACGTGGGATTAACTGTATCATGGATTCTTTTTTTGGGGATATCAACCGACGTAGTTTCGGCTATGTTAGTTTCCAGAGAAGGATGGAGAACATAGAGACCATTCTCAAGTTCTCCGTATGCGATGAATTTGTTATTTCTTTTAATAGTAATTGCATTACCAAAAAGAATAAAATATCCATCCACACACAATTTTGAAACAGAAATCAAAATTCTTCTCAAATTTTGTACATAAAGACAATCTTTCAATACAATTGATCATTCTCTGAAAATTAACTCTACGATTCCTATAGCCGTAGTTGCAACACTTGCAGAACTCCCCAAGTAAAGATTTACTTCTCCGTCACTCAGTCTTCTGCTTATCCTGAACCCCTGCAGTGAGTTACACGCATGAGTCGATGCCCCGGAGTCAATACACCAGGAAGCAGAATTTACCAACAAATTGGTTTCTATGACACAGGATTCGAAATTACCTTTCTTGGATTCCAGGTACTAAGGACAGTTCCTCTTCCAGTTGCCGGTCTGTTTGCAGAAGTGACAAGCATCCGATGCTCTGTCCTTCTTTTGCTTCTTGGACTTGGTGGCTTTCTTCTGGGGCTTCTTCTTTGCTTTCATCTTTTTTTTGCCTGACTTGCTAGTTTCAACAAGCATACCAAGAGGCTCATCCTTCTTAATCAGTTCTTCAGCCCTCTGCAACATATTGCTGACTTCCTAAATGCTGACATTCAGCTTGTTTATGTTGTAATTAATGATGAACGGATTGAAGGAAGGAGGCAAAGAATTCAGGATGGCGTCTACCTTAGTGACATTGTCCAGCCCGGATCCAAGAGCCCCAAGTTCATTGATGTAGCCCATCATCTGAAGACAATGGTCATGAACCTGCTGGCCCTTGGACATCTTTGTGATCATGAACCGTTTCAAGACCTTTTGCCGAGTAGAACGATTATGCTCTTCGTACATTGTCTTTAGACTGTCCAATATGTCATTGGCAAGATCGATTTGATCGAACTGCCTCTGTATTGGATGTCCAGGGAGGCAATGATATAGCACCGGGCCAGGGAAATTTTTTCTTCCCACTCAAGGTATTCCCTCCTACGGGCCTCAGAAGCCCTATCTCCCGGACGATCCGGGGTAGGATTCTTTGCTACATTGTCCAATTTTTCAGACGTTAGGACCAACATAAGATTACGATACCAGTCAACATAGTTTGGGCCCTTTAGTTTGTTGTCGTTCAACAGTTTAGCAAATTATCCGTTTGCCATTTCTGATAAAAAGCAAACATTAGTCCACAACCTAATTTGATTCATGTTATCTACATAGATATGGCTTTTAATCTATGTTCCATTTCCATTTATTCATTTCTGAGATTTCCCTCCTATCTCAGTAACAGAGACTACGAATTATGTTTCTGGAAATGTGGGAAATCACATAGGGTGCATGGAGCCAACTGTTTCAGCTGCATAACCCCACCACCTTTCTGTGAATGATCATATCCACTCATCGTATGAGCTTTCCCTTTGGTCTCTGTCAGACAAGGTTCATTGCCATTTTAGGTTAAACTTTTCTGTCCAGTGAGTGCTCACCCATCATATTCGTGAACACCAAAGTACCGTGAGAGAGTTCCATTTTCTGGTAAGCCCCTCCCACATCGGTCTACGACGCCCCTATCATCTTATGAAACACTCCGACAGATCCAACAACAAATGGATAGCCCAATTTTATGGTGTGTTTCCTTATTACTGAAGGACCCATCTTCATACTAATGATGGAAGGCCTTTAGAGAGTTCATCATATGAATCTCCCTATCACATGCACCCATATTTCAGAAGGGAACAAAAGTTACGCCCTAGTTTAATTTAGGTCAAACCAAAGTGGCTCCCACTGACTTTCATAAAGTTAGATTTTTGGTGGGCCCTAAACGGCTAGGGTTCCGCACGTATCTTGTTCAGGGTGTGGGGCCCACCACTGAGGGATGTCATCCAATGACCCATAGGGACACCATGGCAATGATGTGCATTCAGCCATGGTGTGCGCAAGAGCCACTATCGTATCTGCATGGGCTAAGTACTTATGGCCCATGTACGTTGCACATCACACATACATCACATGCAAGGATAGAATTGATCCAATCAATTAATATCTGTAAAGCCCATTATTAAAGCCCAATTTAAACCATAATATTACTGATTATTATTATCTAGGTATATGGGCTGAATAGCAGTTAATAGTTCGACCCAGCTTTTCTGCAATTAGTGGGCTTTTGCAGTTTTAACTCTTTAAAACTGGGCCTTACAGGTGTGGGCCGAATTAAATCTCATAATTAACCATCAATCCCTTGACCCAAAAGTGGGAAATTAGG